GGAACCGACTCCACATCACATAACAACAACAACAACAACATGTAAAAGAATGGTGTTGGGTCCCTACATCATACCAAATACAAAAACTAACTCCACATAGATAAAAAACCTAAATGTAAGGGCCCAAACAATAGAACTCTTTGGAGAAAATGTAGGATTAACTCTTCATTATTTTTACTCCTTGTTAGGTGCTATGGTGTCTATTTCAATTCACAGAGACCCCTGTGACAGAGTAGAACTTCCCTATAGTGTTTTCTTTTATGTGTGAATTGAGTGGTAGTTTACATGGAGAACATCAGCTTTACATTCATCCTATCGTATTTAATTTTATTGCAATGATTACAATCCCCTCCATGCATCATCATTTAACAGCATTTGCTTCCATTCCCTCTGTTTTTTGTTTTGGATGTACACTGAAGCACTCAGGAATATATAACCATTCAAGCAACCGAAGGGTGTACCCTGCAAGCCTGCCCCCCCGGTTGCCAGCACACAGCTCTTCTCCCTCCTTTAGTTTAGAGTTCCCAGCTGCTTCCTCACTCCACGTCATCATCTCTTGCCTGTAGTCGTTTATGGAAATAGATGATCAGGTCTTTCTCCTGTGGTGCTGCTGGGTAGGTAGGTTTGAACTGCCAACCATTTGTTTAGCAGCCAAATATATAATTGTTGCACCACTAGGTGCCTCATCTTTGACTAGGCAATGATTTCTTAGATATGACACCAAAAGCACATGCAACCAAAGAAAAGAATAGATGAATTTGATTTCATAAAAATGAAAACTTTTGGGGCTTCAAAGAACACTATCAAAAAAGTGAAAAGAGAACCCACAGAAAAAATATTTGCAAATCATTTATCTGATAAAGTTCTATTATCCAGAATAAAAAACCAAAAAGAACCAAAAATGAAAACAGAAAACACTATTAGAACTCAATAACCGAAAGACAAATGCCTGGGTATATGCCCAAAGAATTGAAAATTGGTACACAAATATATGTACATATATGTTCTTAGCAGGACTGCTTTCAATAACCAAAGGTAGAAACCATTTAAATGTCCATTAACAGATGGATAGAAACACAGTGGCATCTATGTAGAATGAAATATTATTCAGCCACAAAGTGAAATGAAGTTCTTATATATACTATCACATGAATGAGCCTTGAAAACATCATGCTAAGTGAAAGAAGCCTTAAACAAAAGGCCACATGTAGTATGAGGCCATTTTATGAGATATACAGAATGTGTAAATCTTTAGAGGCAGAATGTAGATAGATGCTTTCCAGGCACTAGGGAAAGGGAGAATGTGTTTTCAGTTCTCTTGAGTGTATACCTAGGAGTGAAATTGTTGGGGCATATTGTAGGAATTCCACTCCTCAGAAACCATGTAGGAATTACCATATGACCCAACAATTTCACTCCTAGTTCACCCAAGAGAACTGAATACACATGTTCACACAAAAACGTGTACACAAATGTTCATAGCATCACTATTTATACTAGCAAAAAAATGGTGTTTCAATTGATGAATGGATAAACAAAATATGGTATATCCATAGACTAGAGTAATATTCAGCAATGGAAAGAAATGAAGTCCTGATATATGCTACCATATGGATGAACCTTGAAAACTTATGTTAAATGAAAGGAGCTAGATACAAAAGATTATATTATTCCATTTGTATAAAATGCCCACACTAGACAAATCCATAGACAGAAAGTGGATTAGGGGTTGCCAGGACCTGGAAAGATGGGGTGAGAGTGGGGAATGGAATGGTTGCTAAAGATGTACAGGGATTCTTTCCGGGGTACTGAAAATGTCCTGGTATTAGAGGTGGTGATGATTGTACAATCTTCTGCATATACTAAAACCCACTGGATTGTATACTTTAAACTAGTACTAAGGAGTCCTGATGTGGCACTGTAGGATAAGCACTGGACTACTAACCGCAAGGTCAGTAGTTCAGACCCACCAGCTGTTCCCTGAAAACCCTATACAGAGATGCTGTGAACTGGAACCAACTCAATGGAACTTAAAAACAAGGGACCATAGTGAGGACCACTTACTTTGGAGTATGTACTGACCAGTGAGTCTGGGTCAAAGCAAGCCTTTGACCTCTCATTGTGACACTAAATTTGCTAAGACAAGTATCAGTACCCTCCTCTGATAGATATAACATTGTGACCAAAAAACAGTCAGATCTTAGTGACTCTACTTCCACAAAGGTCAGCAAAGACAGCAGGGAATTTCTGAGGAACATTTCTTTGCAGTGAGAGGAATTACAGAGCGCTACATGCAACTTGTCTAATTGGGTTTATGGGACACAGGTCCTAAAATCCTGTGAGACCTGTTTCTCACCAAACTTTAAATTGCTTCTGGGATTAAAATTGGCCCCAAACAACCAGAGCTTTAAATTGTTTCATGCCTCCTTGATAGAATCTCAGGAGAATAGGGATGGGCAAAGTCGAGGACGCATGCTCTGGGCATGCAGGCAGGATGTGACTGGTAGGGCTGGTGGGAAACAGTATGTCAATCTACCCTTCCTCTTTTTACCTCTCAGGGCACAAATAGCAGGTGTGAAGAAGACCAGAAAAGTGAGAGGCTAGAGACTTTTCAGCTCTGGCCAATGCTGAATTCCCCTCCTCCCTTTTAAAATACTTTGCTGTGATATTTGAAGGAGTTGCTTATCTCCAAGGTGACTAAACAGAATTTGCCTCCTGCTTCCAGGCATAGTTTCAATAGGTAGGGTTAGACCAGGGATAGTCAAAGTTGGCAACTGAAATAACTACCTCCCAAATCAAGAGACCTTCCCAGCATCCTTTGGCCATAAACTTCTATCCTGGTGAACTCCCATTTGCTTGATGACCTCATCACCTCACTGGATATAGATGGGGTTTCTACAAGTATGTTCTTCAGGTAGGTGGGGAGAACAGAAAAGAGGGTTTGAGTGAGGACATGGGATCATGGGATCCTAGACCAGTGCAAGGAGAAAGAAGGATATAGAAGAAGGAAATTTCTGTTCAACATAAGGGAAAACTTCCTAACAACCAAGACAGTTTGACAAAAGAATAGGAGGTGTGAGAGCCACACAACCCAAGGTGATTTAAGTGGAAGTGGGGACAATATTCATACAATGATGGGTGGGAAGCAAGACCAGTTACTTTATAGCATTTCTGCCAAGTCTGAGATTTTCTAGCCAATAGTATTAACATCTCGAAAAGCAAATCTCTACCCCCAAATATTCTTGATGTCCTGAGCTAATCTCCTCTGGTAATTGATGAAGATAGATTTAAACTGTCTACTTCCTCTCACCAAGTCTTCCCCAACTAGCATCGGTATAATAATCACAGATAAACTCTGTCAAGCTTACCTTCCCATCCCCACTCCATAGTCCATGCTACCAGACAGATATCTTAGAGAGAAATTTGATACCACTATTTTCTCTGGGTGTCCTAAAGAAGAGTGAGAATGACTTCCCAGTTTGTCTTTTACTCTTTAGTAGACCTGTTCTGGCACAAATAAAGGAGTAAGAACATAGCCAGAGTAGTGAGGGAAGAAGCCCTAGGGAGAAGGTGAGAAACCAGGGTTCCAGTCTTGCCCTGGCCTCACTTGCCTGTGGACCTCAGATCTCACTTTTCTTCTCTTTTAATATGAGAAGTTTATTCTCTAAAGTACTGGGTCTTCAGTGAATGCAGTATACGCAAGGCTGGATAGGGTTGTCTGCTTATCTTTGGAGAAAAGCTTATTAGTCAGCTCAGTTATAATAAAGTCTCCACTAAGGACCATGACTTACAAAACAATTCCAAAAGCACAGAGCCTGGTCACAGTGGTGTGGATACTCACCCTGGGAAGCATGAGGAACACTTGTTAGTTTCTGTTTCTGCTCTCAGGTCTTTGGAGCAAACTGAAGAAACTACAGGACAAAGGTTATGGTTAGAGAGGGGGATTTAGGGTCTTCATGGTCTACTGGTCAGAACTTCTCATTGATTGTGCAACCAAACTTGTGAGAAGTGAAGTTTACGTAAACTAGGCCTCAAGTAGCAAATATGCATATTAGGCAGACCTTGATCCTCTTGGCCTTTACTCATTGCGTTCTCCTTGTAGGACTCCATATATAATCGAAGCATCATAAGAAAGTTATTATACAAACACAGACTTTTAGCCAGGGAAGTGAGCAGGATAATATCAGTGGTCAACATCATGAGTGTCACAGACTGAAACCCCCAAGGGCATTGCAGGAATACTGTAAGAACAGGAAGGGCTGTCTTGAGGAGTCCACTTGCCTGGTCATTGATGAAATCATGCGGTACACCATCAGAGTTCCTATATTATGAAGTTCCTATATTATGAAGCATGTAGACTAATATTGCCCACTCATCCCTTCAAGTATATTAATATTATCAATCTAGTTAGAATCCTCTCATATACATGGTTTGATTGGGTTCCAGAGTTTGTTTCTCCTATTTTGGACCTGATATACATGATATATAAAAAGTTTTAAGGTAACTTTATTAGACAGTGAATCTTATTCTTTAGATGTTTGTGTTGTTATTAGGTGCAGTCAAGTCAGTTCTAACTCATAGTGACTCTATGTACGTCAGAATGAAACACTTCTTGGTCCTGTGCCATCTTCACAAAGATGAGCCTATTGATGCAGACAGACGCATCTTCAGGCTATATCAGACACTGTGCAGCTGCTATTTATAAGGTTTTCAGTGGCCATTTTTTTCAGAGGTGAATTGCCAGGGCCTCTTTCCTAGTCTGTCTTAGTCTGGAAACACTGCTGGTATTTGATTTATGGGTAGCCTAGCTTCCAGTAGCACAGCAACATGCAAACAACCACACTCTGACAAACTGAGATGCTGGTGTTACAAGCTGACATCTCAGAGAGTAAATTTAATTTAAGTTCTAGAAGTATCTCATTGTGATCTCTGCCTACTAACCCCTATTAACATGTGTTTGTTGTCCACAGTTTTCCTGAGGTTGAAGGAGACAATTTAAAATGGAATTGGTCAACCAATCTGCTGTTGCAGAGTTTGTCTTATTGGGGCTGTCAGATCAGCCAAGACTTGAGAAAACTTTCTTTGTACTCATCTTGTTTATGTACCTGGTGATCCTACTGGGGAATGGGATTCTCATTCTGGTGACTGTGTTCGACTCCCACCTGCACACACCAATGTACTTTTTCCTGGGGAACCTTTCCTTTCTGGACATCTGCTACACAACCTCTTCCATACCTCTAGTCCTGGATGGTTTCCTGACTCCCAGGAAAACCATTTCTTTCTCAGGCTGTGCTGTGCAGATGTTTCTATCCTTCGCCATGGGAGCCACGGAGTGTGTGCTTCTGGGCATGATGGCATTTGATCGCTATGTGGCCATCTGCAATCCTCTTCGGTATCCTGTGGTCATGAGCAAGGCTGCCTATGTGCCCATGGCTGCCGGCTCCTGGTTGGCCGGTGGAACCAACTCCATAGTGCAAATTTCCCTGGCGGTACAGTTGCCCTTCTGTGGGGACAACGTTATCAACCACTTCACCTGTGAGATCCTGGCAGTTCTAAAATTGGCCTGTGCTGACATCTCCATTAATGTGATCAGCATGGGGGTGGCCAATGTGATCTTCCTGGGGGTCCCAGTACTGTTCATCTTTGTCTCCTACATATTCATACTCATCACCATTCTGAGAATCCCCTCAGCTGAGGGGAGGCGAAAGGCTTTCTCCACTTGCTCTGCCCACCTCACTGTGGTGGTCATTTTCTATGGGACTATTCTTTTTATGTATGCAAAGCCTAAATCAAAGGATCCCCTAGGAGCAGACAAGCAAGATGTTTCAGACAAACTCATCTCCCTCTTCTATGGGGTGCTGACTCCCATGCTCAACCCGATCATCTACAGCCTCAGAAACAAAGATGTCAAAGTTGCAGTGAAGAACCTAGTAAGTCAGAAATGCTTCACCCTGTGATGATAGTGAGAGAAAGTGGTGTAGGCTGTTGTTTTGTGCAGATGATTACTAGGTAAACATAGACTTGTACAATGGTCTTCACACATCAATTTCATCACAACACTGTCCTGACAGAATATGCATTTTGATGGGGCTGTTCTAAGTGACTGAGCAGGGAAAACCCACTCTTTAAAATGAAAATGATTGTGCTAAAGCATCTAGAGCTGAGAATGTGACTATTAAAATGTATTTTTTTATTCAGACAAAATAGCATTAAAGATTAAAGCTTTGTAAAAACATATTTACATCTTTATGTGCACACCAGCTGCAATTTGTATGTACTAATTATGTTATTTTCTACTCTATTGCAATGAGGAACATGGCAAAGAGGAAAAGTCACTTGTTAATTAGTGTCCAAACTGAAAATGAATCTAACACGGTGGAAAATTGTGGACACCAGGACACATCTCAAATGATACCACTTAACATCTCTTTGACTACAGAAGCTCACAGTATTTTCTGTTTGATATCCTCGAGTCAATTTTGAGTGACTCCTTCTTCTCTTACTGTGCATTGTTGTTGTTAAGTGCAGTTGAGTCATTTCTGACTCATAGCCACCCTGTATAGGGTTTCCAAGGAGTGGCTGGTGATCTTGAAGTTTAAACTGACTTTGCAGTCCATCGCATTGACCCACAGGGCCACACCAGGACTCCTTACTGTACATAGAACAAGTTTATTTCTACCCAAATTTGCCAGTTGAACTACAGATATTACAGGTCAACAATAGAATTACTTGGGGTGGTTGTTCTTTCTAGTCCATTTGATTCTGGAAGCTCTGCTGAGGCCTGTTCAGCATTATGTTGGTGGTGGTGGTGTTGAGTGCCATCGAGCCAGTTCTGACCCATATTGACCATTATGTTGTTGTTGTTGTTAAGTACCATGAAGTCAGTTCCAACTCATAGTGACCCTACAAAGGGTTTCCGAGGCTGTAAATCTTTATGGGAGCAGACTGCCTCATATTTCTCCTGTAGAACTGCTGATAGTTTTGAACTGCCAACCTTGAGGTGACCATTATAGCAATACACAAATTGCTACTGACAGGTGATGGACACACAGAGGTGCATTGTCTGGGAATCAAATCCCAGATCTCACATATGGAATGTGAACATTCTACCATGGAACCACAAATGTCCCTGTATAGAATTGCTAGCAATCTCAATTTAGATAAATCACTGTTGTTGTTGCTAGATGCTGTTGAGTCATTTCCAACTCAGTACCCTGTATCCTACGGAATGAATACTGTCCAGTCCTGTACCAGTCTCACGGTCATTGCTATGTCTGAGGCATTGATGCAGACATTGCATCACTCCATCTCATTTAGGGTCTTCCTATTTTTCTGCTGACCCTCTACTACTAAATCAGTACAATACAATATAGTACAAAATATGCAAAGTTTATATTTTGAGTCCCTTTGTTTACTTGGAATTAATGGTGGCTAACATCCAGACTCAAACTCAAAAGACCACAACCTTTGGTATGGGTTACATCTCAATGTAAACAAAACAAAAATCCCTACCATTGGACCAATGAACAACATCCATGTCAATGGAGAAAAGATTGAAGTCTTCAAAGACTTCTTTTTGTTGCATCAACCATCAATACTCATGAAAGCAGCTGTCAAGAAATCAAACGATATATTGCATTGGGCAATTCTGCTGCATAAAACCTCTATAAAGTGTTGAAGAACAAGGATGTCAGTTTGAGGACTAAGGTGTGCCTGACCCAAGCCATGATATTTTCAATAACTTCACTTGAAAATTGGACAGTGATTAAGGAAAACCATAGAAGAATTGATGCATTTGAGTTACGGTGTTAAGAGGAGAATATCGAAAGTACCACGGACTGCCAAAAGAACAAACTAATCTGTGTTGGAAGAAGTATAGCCAGAATGCTCCTTGGAATCCAAGATGGCCAAACTTCATCTCTCATACTTTGGACATATTATCAGGAGGGACCAGTCATTGGAGAAAGATATTATGTTTGGTAAAGTGGAGGGTCAGACAAAAAGAGATAGATTGGCGGTTATGGGCTAAGGCAGTGTTGTGCATAGGGTTAGTATGAGTTGGTACTGACTCAATGGCACCTAACAACAACAGCAACAACATCCAGACTCACTTTCCTCTGTCTCTTCAGGATCCTGACTGGACACTGGCAACAATTACTCAAGTTTAATACCATTGTGGTTAAGAGCACAGACTTTGGAGTCAGACTAACACAGAGGGAGGGGACTCTAGTAAGTCCAGACATGTTAGAAAAGTTACTTAATTTTGCATATCCCTCATTTTTTAATTTGCAAAATGGAGATAATTAAACCAACTCCACAGAGCTGTGAGGATTAATTAAAATAAGGTATGCATATATACATAAATGCATGGTGCTGACAAGCAGTAACCACCTAATTAATAAATGAACATTTTTTATTATTAACGTTAAATAACTCTTCTTAGAAAGTTTTATGAATTTTGAAGACAGTTCAATATCACACTTACCTTAATTGGCTCAGACTTATTGTTGCAGCACATTTTGGGGTAGCGTATCACCCTACAGTCTCCCCTTTACTGGACATTTGCCCAACCATCCTGGTCCCCTATCCACAGAGGTGCAGCACTCAGATTTGTACTGCGTGATTGTACCTAGACTAATCTGATTCTTTTGCCAGGTTTTTTGAGATTGTTGTTAATACCAAGAGTGAATTATATGTAAACTTGGGAGCTATGGGATAGTCAGGTTTGGTCATGTGGATGAAGGAGATAAATAGAAATCAAATCTGCAAAGAAAAAACAAGAACATCCAAAGAAAGACAGCAACAAAAATGAGAGATGATGACTGTATCCTCATGTGTTCTCAGTTCTGGATTCCCATTTTTCCTTATATCTGATCAGAATCCTACCCTTTTGCTTCTCTAGACAACTCTGTAGCCTTATAATAGATGATAGTTTTCACCAATATAGGTTAAGTTGCTTTCTTTTGGAGGGGTGGTCAACAGTTGTTATAGTTAATACTTATTGCTGCTGTTGTTAGGGGCCATTGAGTCAGTACCATCAAGTCAGTTCCAACTTTGGAGGACCCAATGTACAATAGAACAAAACGCTGCCCAGTTCTGTGCCATCCTCACGATCACTGCTGTTTGAGTCTATGGTTGTAGCCACTGTGTCCATCCATATCCTTAGAGGTTTTCCTGACCTTCTACTTACCAAGCATGTCTTCCTTCTCCCGTGATGGGTTCCTCCTGATAACATGTTTAAAGTATGTGAGTCCAAGTCTTGCCATCTTCCTTCTATGGAACATTCTGGTTGTACATCTTCCAAGACATATTTGCTTGTTTCTCTGGCAGTTCATGCTATATTCAACATTCCTCGCCAGCACCATAATCCAAAGGCATCAATTCTTCTTCAGTCTTCCTTATTCGCTGTTCAGCATTTGCATGCACATGAAGTGATTGAAAACATCATGCTTAAGCCATGCTCACCTTAGTCCTCAAGAAGACATTTTTGCTTTTTAACACTTTCAAAGTTTTTCTGTAACCAATTTGCCCAATGCAATATGGCATTTAATTTCTTGACTGTTGCTTCCATGGGCATTGATTATGGATCCAAGATGAAATCTTTGATAACTTCAATCTTTCCTCCATTTATTATGGTGTTGCTTATTGCTCCAGTTATGAGGATGTTTGTTTTCTTTGTGTTGAAATGTAATCTATACTGAAATTGGCTTTTCCAGTGTAGAGATGTTAAAGCACATAGAAGAAAATGAGTAAGTAAAAGAGATGAAGAGAAAATTTCAAAGGGCAATTTGAGAAGACGCAGTCAAGTATTATAATGAAGTGTTCAAAAACCTGGAGTTAGAAAACCAAAAGAGAAAAACACACTCAGCATTTTTAAAGTTGAAAGAACTGAAGAAAAAACACAAGCCTTAACTTGAAATATTGAAGGATTCTTGGGCAAGATGTTGAATGATGCAGAAAATACCAAAAGAAGATGGAAGATACAAACAGAGTCATTGTTTCAAAAAGAAATGGTCCATGTTCAACTATTCAAGAGGTAGCATATGATCAAGAACTGATGGTACTGAAGGAAAAAAATCTAAGCTGCACTAGTAAAAACAAAGCTTCAGGAATTGACGGAACTGAAATATTTCAGTAAACAAACAGCACTGGAGGCGTTTACTCATTTATGTCAAGAAATTTGGAGGAAAGCTAGCTGGTCAACTGATTGGAATAGATCCATATTAATGTTCATACCAAAGAGAGGTGATCCCATGGAATGCTGAAATTATTGAACAATATTAATATCACATGCAAGTAAAATTTTGCTGAAGATAACTAAAAAAACTGCTGCAACAGTACATCCATAAGGAACTGCCAGAAACTCAACACAGATTCAAAAAAGGATGTGTAACAAGGAATATCATTGCTGATGTCATATGCCTCTTGGATGAAAGTAGAGAATACCAGAAAAATGTTTACTTGTGCTTTATTGACTATGCAAAGGCTTTCAACTGTGTAGATCATGACAAGCTATAAATAACATCATGAAGAATGAGTATTCCAAAACACTTAACTGTGTTCATGAGGAACCTGTACATAGACCAAGAGGAAATCATTTGAACAGAACAAGGAGATGTTGACTGGTTTAAAATCAGGCAAGGTGTGTGCTGGGGCTGTTTCTTTCACAATACTTATTCAAGCTGTATGCTGAGTAAATAATACAAGAAGCTGAAATATATGAAGTAGAAAGTGGCATCAGGATTAGAAAAAGACACTAACAACTAGTGATATGCAGAAGATACAGCTTTGCTTGCTGGAAGTGAAGAGGACTTAAAATACTTACTGATGAAGGTCAAAGACCACAGCCTTCAGTATGGAATGTACTTCAATGTAAAGAAAACAAAAATCCTCACAATTGTACCAGTAAATAACATCATGATAAGTGGAGAAAAGATTGAAGTTGTCAAAGACTTCA